CAATCAGCATACACTGCGCGTGCCAAACTGACACGAGCTTGCTGACCACCACTTAGGGTGTTTCCGCGTTCACCGATGACAACTTGATCTCTGTCAGGAAACCTTTCAATGTCCTCTTCTAACGCACAAGCGTGGATTGTTTGAAAGTACTTTTCAGACTGGAATGGCCGACCAAAGAGAATGTTTTCTCTCAATGTCCCCGAAAATACCCATGGTATTTGTGGTACGTATGCAATGCTGCCAGATACCTCGATATTTCCTGCAGTAGTCGGCATTTCACAAGCAATTAAAGATAACAAAGTCGACTTCCCACTTCCCACCGGACCGGTAATGACGGTCAAGGTCTTATCTCTTGCTTCAAAAGTGACTGATCTCAGAGGAGTTTTGTTATCATCAATGATTTTACATGTCACATTGCTTAATTTGATTCCTGCTTTTGTATCTGGCCCACATGCCTTCTTTAATTCTGTTTGACTTAACCCCAGACTTGAAAGAGGATTGTTTCCGTTATGGTCATCTTGAATTTTTACAAACTTGGTTATGATGCAAGATTTTTTAGTGTACTCGTCGAAGTATGTCAAGCCATCAGAAACGTCCACAACCACTTTGCCAATACGTTTGTTCGCGAACAACAAATCCTTCCCATTTTTACTTGAGTGCTTTCCGTCAGTCAAACAATGCATTTCTGGTAGCACCAAAAACTCTTGTATTCTACCAAATGAAACGTACGCCTCGTAAATAAAATGCAGCCCTTCTGCTATAGATCTTAAGGCACTGTTTCGGAGCACATTTATTATTGACAGAAGTGTAAACACTTTGAACGGTGTCAAGTTGGAACCAGTAAATACGAGTGTCAAAAGAGAGATGAACGCTGCGACAACGCCAGAAGTGTACATCATAGAAATACCACAAGATACAAGGACACTCTTCTGGCGAATTATCTTCATTTCCTCCCTGAAAATAAATAGGAAAATTATCGTTTTTTCACTTATCTCCTAGATGCTCGTAATCAGGTATTTTTACAGAGGTCGCAGTGGATGAATCATCCTAATATTGACCCAGAAAAGGCAAGCCAGCCATTTTTAAACGATATTCAGAGGAGATCGCGAATTCTGATCCGGGAGCCGTACCAATAATACTCAGGGTCTTGGAATAACTGCCATTGCCCGGCAAAAGGCTAGACCTTCTTTTTTTGTTGTTGCTCAGCCTTGTTAGTTTTTCACTAAATTTCATTGGTAAGCTATTTTATTATCAGTTTTTTATGGAGGGTATAAAGCATAGTGAGATTTAATCTACGGTATGACTTCTTATACCACTTACTTTCGAGTCTCCCGGATTTGTTCCAGAAAGAACCATTCCAACGCATGAGTCTTCACTTCACGTATTCCAGCCACTATCTCAGCCATAAGGTTTATTCGCCTATCTGAAACAGCAGCGGTCTTTAGTCGGAGCTTTCCAGCAAGGTATGTAAGGAAGCCACCAAATGGCACCAGAAGAAGCAAGAACACGAGACTCATTAACGCCTGCCAACCTATGAAGTGCCACATCAACGGAACAGCAACAGTGACATCGAAGATGGCGACGAGGAGCCGAAAGAACTGCCTTGCAGCTTGCTCCATTCTTTGAAGATCATTGGACACGAGATCAATCACGTGACCCTTAGTAAATCCGTTCAGTGTTTGTTGACCAAGGAGCAGAATCTAGAGATTGAGAACGAGGATACAATCAAGCCTATGTTTGTCAGTCCAATTTATCTACTGTAAGCTACTTCAGTATTTCGATAGAGAATGTCAGATCCTCTTACACATGAATAATCGTTTACTGAGACTCTCAATTCTTCCGATCTGTAAGCCTTTGCAATTTTCAATTTTTTCGTATATAATACATACATTATCCAGAGGAACGTGGAAAGTCCCACCTTGCTACAATAGCTCACCTGTATCGTTGTACATTTTTAGAGACCGTATATAAGTCACCTCGCAAGTCAAATTGTGCGTATTCGCATCCTCTCATTCCCAGCATTCCGCTTCAAATAGGTGTTTCTTTTTACAAACACATATAAAAAGGCAGCAAAGAAAGGAGCGAACAAAGAGTTAAGGACTAGAAAACCTCTCTGATCCTCTCTAGTCATGTTTTTTCCTCTGCCGTTTTATTCTTCTATTTACACTTATTTGGGTGTGGTCGTTGTTGAGGTACCTTTTTTAAATACGAATACTGCTAATGTAGGGGCCTTAGGGTAAGGGGTGCAGTTAAGGACTTCGGTTATTGTACACTCAACAGGTGTCCGTTTGATACATTAACGAAAAAGAATGAATGCCAGTCTTAATAAGGACGGTGTATGATGGTTTATCCTAGTAGCTTTAAACAAATCAGCATTCCCCCAAAATCACACCGGAAGCCGAAAACGTGACGAGGCACTTAAGGAATGTCTACGTAGGAAGCTCTGAATGACCTAAGTACACTATTGGTACAGTGTATTTAAAAACATTCACTACCCAAATAAAGTTCGATACGTAATCAAGATGTAATTCACGGTAGCTTCTAAGATGAAAATGCGTCTCAAACCTTTGTTTGTTTCTCAAACGAGGACTAGTCAGTCCGAGACAACGAAGAATGATGATGATGACTCTGGGACACAACTGACCCTACAAGAGACTGTGACGTTGTTATTAACGTCGTAAAGGAGGGAAATCTGACCTCGTATGCACTTTGGTGAAGCTAATCACCTGGATTACCCTGTCCCTGGGAGGTCTAAGTGATACTCACTCTCAAATTACATATTGAACGTTCATTCAGAACGGTTATCCAGAGTTCAGCTGTACCGTGAGAATGATTACTAAATCCCATCTTATCTCTAATAATTATTTGGTTCCCATCGTTGTTCAAACCGCAAAGTGACATAAATCTTACTTAACTCAGACAAAATCCGGAAAGCGTGCTCTATTACATGAAGGAAAACTCACCTTTTTGAATATAAGACCTTTGAGCGAGGCCTTCATTCGCATCCCAATTACATAAAGTTTGAAACTGCTGTGATGCACGGCGACACTTTTCATCACTACAACCAACAGCATTAGCAGGGCACAGCAAGCAAGCAGGGCTTGCTCTGGGGTGTTAGACACGAGTGTGGAAATGAAAACTCCCAAAAAAAAGGGCTGAAGAAATCGCCCCACCGAGTCCAGAAACCCAGCAAAACCAATTATACAGAGTTCTTTGCGTGACAACACTTTCATGGCTGTTTTCCATAACCGTGGGTCTTTGTCGTTTTTAAGATCTTTCGTCCATTGTGATTGCAGTTGTTCTGTCAATAGACAAGTTTTGTCTTCGTCGTGCAGCGGCCAAAAGTCTGACTGTTGCAGAGGGCGATTGTTCCCCGTTTTGAATAAATCGTTCGTCCACCAAAACAAAAGAAACGAAATCCAGTTGGCTTTGCTCTGGGGATGTTGAGGGACCTCATTATTGCTGGCTTCTCTGTCCATTAGTCTTAAAATGAAAGCAAAATTAGTTGTGAGTAAACAAAGCAAAATTGCATATTCATTTGAAAAGGATTTGTTTAGTTTATATGCAACAGGTAAGTTTATCCCATAAGGCTAGGGTGTGCTTTGATGACTTCAGACAGAATCTACAATTTTTTGCTAGCTCGTTGAGACATTTCGTTTGACATCAACGATGATTGCTTTGTTAGACAACAGAATGACGGCATTTAAAGAACAAACTAGATAACGGGTACGGTACAATTGAACAAAAACACAACTGATTTACCTTTTTCCCAGTTTGAGGCCAAAAAACACTCGATCCGTCATTATTAATGAATACAGAGCGAAGACTACGAGAAGAAACTTATATCAACCTATTGTAGCTGAAGGATCGACTTAACATGTGAAAATGACATCTAATACTTTCACTGCTATAGAAAAAAAATAAACGAAGTTGACCTCAGCGATTCATTTACCAAAGGTGCGAATTGTCAAGTGCAGATGTAAATAGAGGTCGGGCGAAATTTGTGTAAATTGTTTGCGGATGTGACGTGCATGTGAGTATCCTGCTAACAGAGTTTGTTGGCGCACGTCTGGGCAACGACAAGTGGAAAGATACGTTTATTTGATAAATATAGAAAAAAAAAACTTTTGATCCTAAGATGATCAGCACATTTTATCCTCGCCGAACATAATCTAATGTAAACCAAACACTCTAGCGTCAGTTTCGTAAACAATAGTACTATAAAGGAGTGGGTATGATGGAGAAAAAGGATGACTTTTCCGATTTTGTTGGAGGAAAATCGAAAATAAGAGAGGTTGATTTCAGTCTTATACATAAAGAGAATTAAAGACCGGAGCGAAATATCTGTTTGAGACAAACTTTTTCGACCTTCAACTGAATAACGTCTATAGAAGATAAACGACTAGTTAGGGACACCTTCTCTTTATAACGCAAACTGTTCAGTACATAAAAAGAGCCACAGTAGAAGGTTTCCGCATGAGATTTATCAACGTTATTATAGTGTTGATTAGTGATTGTTCTGGTTGGCCTTGATTTTTTTTAAGTCAGCTCATGATTTTGCCGGCTGGTCTGGATTTCGAAGGTCTGGATTGCCCGTACTGTATTCAAAACTTTAGTGAAAGGAAAGTTTTGCGTTTGTTGGTGTACGCCTTGCCCACGCGATAAAACCGCGCTCTTATTGATCCTTATTCGCCCCCCAGGCAAGTTGTCGATCCCATGCCTGAGATGGCATCATAAGTACAAGTCAAGAAAGAAGACACTCGAGGACTTGTAAAACTTATTCAAAGTAGACAGACTGCAAATTATATTAGTTGCTAAAAAATATATATCTACGTGTCGCAACTGTTATATAAGACTAAAAATTAAATTATTGTGCGATCACGTTTTGATGTGCTATACGTGGTGATGACCGAAAGGAATAATGTCAATAAAGAAAGACAAATAGAGGAACAAGCCAATACTAATCACAAACAATAAGGATGCCTTAAATTTCGCACAGATGACGCACGAGTTTTTCTTGACACTGACGGGTGACATGTAGGGTTTACAGAAGGCGTTAACTTAGATCATAGTTGATCAATTCTTGTTTTTTCCTTCAAGTATCACTTTTTTTTCGAGTACACCAGATCATTGCCTGCGTCGCAGACGCTCTAAACCTTCGGACTATACAAATGGTTTAGACGAATACGTGGGCCGCGGCTGCAATGCAGGCTAACTAGATCACAATAATAATAATAATAATAATAATAATAATAATAATAATAATAATAATAATAATAATAATAATAATAATAGTAATAAAAACTATGGTTAATGTGATTGTCAAAATGTTTTCAGATCCAATGGTTACCTTAATTAAAATAATCCGTGATGGAATTGAAAGAACAGGTAAACCAGTTCAGAGGTATGACGATTCCCTAGGTTGATGACGAACAAGAAGCTCTTTATCGGTGGTGTTCATCAGTAGGCTTGTCTCGGGTGCATTAACTTTCTATTTACCTTTTCGGAAAACCAGTATTATCAGTTTTAACCTCGAAGAACACCGAACGTTTTGTCAGGGTTTACAGAAATGTAAATTCAGTTTAATGACGGCTGCTAGGCTTTGATAAATTGTCGGCAAGGATAATTTTTGGCATCATTCGTCATTACGAGCATAACTTTCATCTATTTTCCAAAAAAACACTGCTATGATAATTTGGGACCTGGATCCAACAGGACTTTCCACAGGAGTCATTCTTTGAGTTTTTAGAGGAACCCATCCTGGCTCCTGATTTTTATAGCTGTCAGACATGAGTTTTTGTTCCAGTGGCTCACCTTTCTACATTCATTTATCACTGCCAATTTCGAGAAAATACTTTGAAAGACAGTGAAAGCCACGGAACATGCACTCGTAAATATGCAGACGTTTCTTGAATGTAAATAAGGTAAATGTGTTTGCCATTTACATTTTTGTTGCATATAGTTATATTGAGGTGTTTTCTACCAAATTTTAAGTAACAAGGAAAAGCATTATTTATGTATTTTGTTTTTGCTAAAATAACTAGAATAATCACTGGCCTATTTTTTGAAATATAGGAGCACTGCTAATAACATATGCTACTTTTGCGAACAAAATATCAAAGCCTATTAAAATTTTCTAATTAAAAAGATCAATTAATCAGTTTTCCCATTTTGAAGGCTTGGTCCTCGTTTTGGCATGTTTCTTGTTTTTCTGGCATCATCTATGCTTTTAGCAGGAAGTGATGTAAAAGGAAGCCTCTGTATCAACAAGGAAATAACCGATTATTCTGGCGACATGTGCGGCCAACTCCATCCTGGAAACAGGTGTTTTAAATAGGTGTTTTAAATCTACTTCCTTCAATCAAACTTCTTAAGAATCCATTTATAATAAATTCATGAGATATCATTCTATGGGTAGGGTATGATAGAATAGTTTGCCCATTGATTACATGAAAATTAATGACCCTCTTTACTTTTTTAATCCTTCATAACCGCACATTATTTCGGTTTCGATGCTTTGACAAAGTGACGTCTTCAATTCGTCGCACGTTTTTTTAAAACACGTTTTTAAAGTAAAGGGTAAAATATACCCAAGGCACAGGCTAGCTACCAAGCACTGAACAGTAAGAATGGTGACATTTCCTTTTTAAAGTAATTTCCATGATTTTCGCCCGTTGCCTCGCTTATTTGACCGTGGTCATACTCTCTCTTCAATTGCCAGCCCCTTTGGAAAGGCCGATATTTCAGTTGAGTGTATTGTGTCATGAAATCTAGCGATTGGTGGTCAAACTCTCCTTCAAATCCAGGCCCTTCTTCAGGATGGCCGATATCTCTTTTGTGTGTTTTTTGACTTTGTAATGACATTCAGTGATAGAAAAAATTATCTTTAAGTTAAAATATTTTGACAATTGGTATTTTGAGTAATTCCTACAACAAAGAAAAACCTTTTGCTCCCTTCCTTTTGTAATGTTGTTTTAGCCATGTAACTTTGCAACCAAATCTCAACATTGCACGGGGAGAAGTGCATGGGTGAGAAGTAAGTATAAGAGAAGTGCATGGGTGTTTCAAGAATTTTTGAAAAAGATTATCAAATATAATTAATTCCTAAAGACAAATGCCACCCTCAATCAGTTAGTCACAGTCAGCGCCAAGTCCTTATAAGACTGTCCATCGAAATATTTCATATAACTAATCCATTCTCTTTTCTTTTCCCTCTAATGGATCCAAACGGTAAGCTGTCGCAACTGAAATTTTTTAAAAATCATCAGCCTGTTCTGCCATCCATCAAAAGTTATCTGAACCTCACCTGGCGGACAGGTGAAACGGTAAAGTGCATGAATGAACGGATTAAGGAACATCACATCGACCATTTCCTACTGACGCAATTAAGTCTGAGACTAGGCTCGTTTACCATTCGCTGTTCGGAAAAATTAGCCCGGACTCATCAGGAACAATGTCCGGACTTGGGAGAGCGGCGGAAATCGTGCCTACTTTGGTTTAGTAAAGCGAAGAGACTGCGAACGACCTCGGGCGTATGTGAATAAGGCTAACTTTGGTTCGAGGTTAAATAAATTGAGGAGGGCCTCACTGGAACCCCCGCAGGGTAAAAGAAGCTATTCATATAAGACAACCGCCCTGACAACATCAGTCGGTGGAGTTCAGAAGCCTGGGTGCTTACGTACGTGAGACGTCGAGATAGCAGCTGATCAGTATACCACAACGGACCTCTGAGGGATTTAAAAACTGGTAAAAGCTCACACATTCATCAAACATGAGTGAGTAAGGGACGGACCATCAGAAAACTTATGGGGGGGAGGGGGCGAAGTACAAAAAAAATATTCCCGCAAGGGAAAATCAAATGAAAAAAAAATTCATGCACGCCAATTAATCCTATAAAATATTCATGCTATGGCCTTAAAAAATTCATACGAGGAATTTGATAACGACAAAAAATTCCTGCGGCTCGAAAATTCCCCACCCCCCCCAACTTTTCTAATGGTCCGTCCCTCTAGTCATGACCAGTCACAAGCAACCATTGTGCTTCTATAGTCCCGCCAGTAAATCAACACCAACGCCTGATGACGACCAGTTGTACGCGACTAAACTGGTCGCGACAACTACACGAACCTTTCATCATTATAACACTTCCATTCCAAGCATAAAAATGGCAAGTGATCAGCTTCACATTAATTGCATTTATAACGAAGTGTGAGCTGGGAATAAGGAAAAACAAAACACTGACAGCCTACTTATAGCTGAGACTGTATTGAGCCTTGCTGTCAGTTCTTTAAGCGGATTCTCTTAACGTTTTTCTATATTGACGCCACAACACGACCAAAAAAATCCCAAATAATACCCATAAAGGTATTAGGCAGTTTTTGTATCGGTGAATTAGTGCTATGAAGTACCTCTGTTCAGTAACTGCTGCAATATATTAAGTAAT